AACAATATTTTTTATTTTTTATTGCCAGTATGATACAGGTGAAGATGATGAAAATCTTCAAGTATGCTTTACTTGAGCTTATAATATGGGCACTCTACAGAAGGCTTGAATAAAACAGCTGCTAGACTGATTAGTACAAAATTAATGAATGACACTCTTAAGATCACAGTTTTCATTGTTTTTACTGTTGTTTGATAGCATTTGTCAAACTCGGCAGAAATCCCTCCTGCCCTCATACTGGGAACTAGTGCACTTCCTGTAACATAGGAAACGATCATCAACAGATGCTGTCAAACCTCTTGAAACCTTCTGCACCATTTTTTGGCACTAGCTTCCAGCAAAATTTCACAAACAGCCTGCCTCCCTTGGTCTGACTGCTGGCTTGTATTCTTTCCCAAATGGATTCTTTGAAAGGAAGTAAAATGCTCATGGACCAGCAATGCTGAGAGAAGGACAGAAAGAACTCTCAAAAACCTAACAAGCGCCCACCTCCCAAGATACAGTAACAAACTGCAGCCCTAAAACCAGAGGAGGGGTGGAAAACTTTTGGTCCAGGAGATGCCTGCAATCCACAGTTTAATTCATCGTGTTTCTACTGAATAACACTAAGACGTCATTTGAAGTACTGCCATGCTTTGAAAGCCACAGAAACAGGAAAATACTTTGAATAAACAATTGCAATTAGTGAGTCTTCAAGAGGAATATTATTAGAAATAATTATTCTGTACTTCTGACCTTAAAATATTAATCTTTGTTGATTTCTACAACAGGTAGCTAAGACACGTGAGTGACTAACATGTCTCAGCCATTTCTGGAGTACTGAGATACAACCACTCTTAATGACCAGGAATGAAAAAGAACAGAGTAAAACTAGCCAGTAAGTGAAAGACTAGCATTATTCAAATTGTTATTTACTGTCAATAAAAAGCTCTCAACCCTGTTCATACCAGTGTTGCCTGGGAACTATTGTTTGCAAAATGGTAAGGCTGTTACTAGGAGCTGAAAGACAGACATTTCCAGCAACACCAAGCCCTGGAGCAATAGCTAAGTATTAGCTAATACCTGAGAAAGCCCCGTACTGGCGTTTGCTGAAGGGAGAAATACATTGAGAGGAGGAAATGGCAGGCAAAAATAACTTCTGCAATCTCACAGCCTCCCATGGAGACTCCCCACCTATGAATGGTATTCATGCAGAAAAGCTGGTGCTCTTATCCTCTGTTTACTTAAGCTCACAGGCACTGATGTCACAGGGCAGGCTTTTCCCAAGTTTTATTTCAAGCCTTTGTCAGAAAACAGCCACTTCCTAAAACGTTAATACATCAACAAGAAAGTGGAAAGCAGTGATGCTGCAGGAACTGGGACAGGGTATTCACAGGCATGTTGTTATGCTGCCGAAGTCTACCGCTAGTTTCAGCCAAATGACAGGCAGGAGTGTGTGCACCGCCTGTGTGCATGCACGTGCAGCTGCCTTGCGGAGGCACACTGCAGCATTGACATTCAGGGAGAGGGCTGAGAGCCAGCATGAAAAAAAAACAGCACCACACTAATTTCTTCTTTTTTTAATTAACATTTGTCAAACTTGGAGAGAAGCCCAGGCTGCAAAATTTGGACGCGAAAATTCAAAGAGCTCAGAAGCTGGAAATGTTCATATATAGGCTCTTCATTTATGCCTAGTCTTTTTTTATAGGTCACGCAGAGATGACTTAATTGCTCTTACTGTAACTTACAATTAGCAATACAGTGATTTTTTTGTATGTTAGAGTACACAGCAGAGCTATACTCCAAAGAAAAGTGGCAATGTTTAGTAGTAGGGCACTTACCTTCCTTTTCAAGAAATAATTTTCCCTGAAGTTCCTCTTTTTTGGGTGGGGGTAGAGGGGAAGGCCTTTAATGCCATCAGCAGAAAAGAATGAGAATATTTTGACCAGATCTAGGAGTTGTTTGTAACAGTTAGTGGTTTCTCAACTTCATGTGAACTGGTTCACCTTCCTGCACAGGATGCACCTCTGCAAGTTCAAACGATCATTACCAAAATACTGAATTCTTGGCGTATGACTGAAAGCCACTATTAAACTCTTGCAATTTCAGTATTAAGTCACTAACTTCACGGAAAGTTCTCTATGCAAGAGTTGGATTAAGAGGTAAAAATCCAGCCTTACTTTGCACTGTTTACCAGCACAGTACATAATATGCAGCAAATCATGCTGTCTGCTGACATTAGAAGAGAATGGGGATTGGAATATTATATTTATTAAAGATGATAATGCATGTAACATCACTCTCAAACATCCTAAATGGCCTGTAAACAGCACCTCTAATCGGGTACCGGGCACTAAGGCTACTTCCACTTCCTAGCAGGGCACGTGCATCCATTAAATCCTAGCCTGGAGATAAGATATCCCAGGGAAACAAGACATTGAGTCATATTAGGAGGTTCAGAGGGATTTCAGAGCTGCAGAAACCCTACAAAGTAATACATTGCTAGTGTTCTTTTTCTGGGGCTTTGGGGAGTACCTGCAGAGAGTGAGCTGGCTCCTGATGAGTGTTCCTCAGCCACCTGTTTCCAAGAGCCAAGCCTCAGCTCCCCCTGGGGCCACATATGAGACTGAACTATCGCAGTCCTCATGGCGAGGACAAAACCAATGGCTTCTCTGACCATTCAACAAATGGAACCCATTGTTTGTCCCTCTGCGCTACTTCTGGATCTGTCTACAGCTAGCTTCTGTTTGTCTTCTAGATGACATGTAACAGTGACACCATGCCTCCATGCTGATGTATTTCAGATGACTGAAAATGTTAAGAGACCTTGGAAAAGGAGAGCTGTGTATAAAAGTTAACTCTTACAAATAGTCCTTCTGCCCCAAATATTCTTCAGAAGAGAGACTGGTTTATAGCACAGCACAACAGCTTCACGTGCATCCTACTAACTCAGCGACACCTTTCTTTTTGTTGGTCTTCAGTTCTGACATTTCATTAGATAATGAACAACATAGGAAATAATGTGAATCAAGTGATTTAATTTTAATGTGGCTTCTGCTTCCTGCGTTGATCCAGCAGTGGAATAATTACACAGATAATTGTTTTTTTCAGAACAGCCTTTCAGGCTGCTTGTGACAGACCTCATTGCTCTCCTCATGCTTTTAAAGAAGGTGGTGTGGCCCTTTGCTGGATCAGTAAGACTGCTTTCAAAGCAGGGTCAATGGGCTTTACTAAGTGGGAAAATGCCTTTCCTTGCCAGATGACAATTAAGGGCCACGTATCACTCTTGAGACAACAAAAGTGTCCTGCTTAGATTAATGCAGTTTCAGACAGTACCGTGAAAAATAATGTAGATTATTACATATAATTAGCACACTATTTTAGAATTACTTTGGCATAAAGGAGCCTAGCTTTTCTTCTGGAGATTTTTCTATCACATTAGAGGGGTTTTGGCCATGCTTGTCCCAACAGATTCACTTCTAATAGAGTAAGATGCTCTATTCATAAGGGAAGGTTTTTGATTAATTCTGTTTGTTATATTAGCATGAAGGAGGAGCTTCTTGGGGAAAGTATTTACATGAACAGCATTTATACAGCACAACATTTCTAATCCAAAAACATCAGTCATCTGCTTTGCAGGCAATGCAAAAGGGGATTGCTTTATCTTAAGCTGAAGTAAACCCACTGTTAAAGTAAATAAGCAGTAGCAACACCACCTAACAAAGGGAACATGAATAATAACTTTTCTAATTTAAGCTGAATGTGGGAGGATATAGGTAGGCAGCAGCAGAAGCTGGAAACCAATTTTCAGTGTGATTCATAGAGATTTTCAGGAGCTGCTTGCACAGGTAAATTATAATAGTTGACATTTACACATAGCTTTTCACTTATTAAAATCTGATGGGTTTAGAGCTTTTTCTTTTTGGCAAATGAAATACTGAAGCACAATGAACTAAGAAATGGGCTCATGGTACTGACTGTGTCTAGTGTCTTGACTTTCAGACACAGAACCAATCCAGTGATTCTGCAAATACTGCTCACCTTTAAGTTGGGAGAAGTTAATTGTAAGATGAATGGAATTGCCTACAGAAGTTAGGGGAGGATTTTAATATTACTGGAATTGTACCAGCCTATGGCTTATGAACAATAGTAACCAAAAGGACGTATTAGTACTTCAGTAAGATTATTTCTTTGTTCCACGCGCTTTCATTACCAATAACATCTCGAGTCACTCCCTACCTACTCGTTTACCAAGACAAAGGGAGCTCCCTATTGCCATTACATTTCCAGCCCCTTCCTCCTATATTTTCCTTCTCATTCCGTATTACACAACTAGATGTGTCAACATTTTTCCTTAACAGAGATCAAAATTAGGTGTTCTGACACAAAAACAGAAAACAAGAATAATCCAAATGATGTCTACGGAGCTCTACTACAGACTATAAATGAAAGCAGCATTTGACCCAATGCTAATATAAAGTGACTCTGAAATAGTATTGACACATGGAAAAAAATTAGAAAGCCAACAGTAATTTCCAAACAGTACTTTCCACATTCTGTGGTCTTACATAGATGTTGTTATCATTGCTTCTGTTAGAGGCAATGTAAAAATAAAAATAATTACAAAAAACACCCACACCAAAAAAGAGTAATAGGGTGGTTATCCATTCACAAATTTGTGTAGTGCTGCCCTAGGAGCATGCCAATATTATTGAAACATTAGTTTGTTGCTTAATTTATAAAATTCTATTCCAAGCAACAACTTACTTTTACTTGCAGTTGGTATCAGTTTTGACCCAGCCTTTTAGAAGGGGTAATGCTGTATTATTTCAATATCATCAATTAAATACTTCATACTAAATGTATGTAAATAGCAATAATAGACATTTTAAATTTCTTTCAAATCCTTTGTAAACAATTTCCTTTCAGTGCTGTAGAATATCAAGATTAGATTACAGGCTGTCAGTATCATTCTATAGACTTTTACCCTACATAACACTCTCCAATGAGGTAGAGACATGTTCATTAGTAAGATTTTATTAGTATATTTGGAAGGGATCTGCAGTAAATCTTTACAGCACAAAACTAAGCATGGCTCCATGTTGAGTCCGAAGCGTGCATGTTACTTCTTAGAAGTGCATGACAAGCATCTTGTTAAAAACAAACAAGAAAAAAGAACATCCCCCTCCCCCAGCAAAAAGGAAACCTCTAAACTAACAAAAAGCAAATGGTAGAAAACTGTAGTTGGGCAAACCAAGTCAGCTCCAAACAATTTTAATAGGCACCTACTATGTCTTCTGGAGTCATTGTTGCATGCATATCTCTAGTCATATCGGATTTCTCTTTCAGCTTTGACTGGAGTAATGTGTGTTCCATTACACCAATTTGTATGTCCATCTGAATGGTTTCTTGCTTCAGTTTTGTTAAGGCTTGTTTAATCTTCACTAGAGGAGCTGTTAAAAAAACACAGGTAAACAGTGCAACTCTGTCAGTTACTTAACAAAAAAGCATTATTTTCTGTAATTCACTCCTTAAAATTGAAGAGTTGAATGAACAAAAGGGCGTTCTACTCTAAAGATGTGATACTTTATTTTTTAATATGCAAGACACTTTAAAGATAGAAATAGGCGATGACAATTTTGCTGTCTTCTTGACATCTAAGATCTGCATAAAGATGTGCATCAACATTAAGATAGGTTTGTCAATGATGTGTTTTGCTCAGCTGAAAGCCTCATCCGGATACCTGACTTGGGGTTTGGTAGACGCCT